CATTCAGGCTTGTAGTTTTCAAGAAGAAGTCGAAAAAGTAAAACATTGACACGGACGACGACGGACAATCACTCATATGATAAGCTCCGCTCGACAAAGTCGACAGCAGAGCTAAAAATCTTATTGTACTTTAAAATCTGTATAAGAAACGACAGCTTCTATTAAAATGGTAAAATGCAACAGAGGGGATGCAGTTTCTATTATAGCATCTACACATATGAGAAATGGTAATTTATGGTGCTTAATTTTTCAAAAAAAAAAACGACTTGGGCTTTACGAGGGATGAGGTTTCATTACATTTTGTATACAGTACCTTGTCTATATTCAAACTTTGAACTGATCTGTCAAGGCATGTCAAGACACAACCCGGTGGGACTAACAGATGAATACATGACCAACGTTATTGTCATCTTGGGTTGCTACATTACTGTAACATACCCATGTTAGATTAGGGACAAAGTCACAGATTAAATGACAATCTAAGAAGAATTCCTTGCAAAGTAGTGGCAAAGTAGTGGCAAAGTAGTGGCAAAGTAGTGGCAAAGTAGTGGCAAAGTACTGCAAAGTAGTTGCAAAGTAGTGGCAAAATACTGCAAAGTAGTTGCAAAGTACATGTACTGCAAAGTACTGCAAAGTAGTGGCAAAGTATTGCAAAGTAGTGGCAAAGTGCTGCAAAGTAGTGGGAAAGTACTACAAAGAACTGCAAAGTAGTGGCAAAGTACTGTAAAGTACTGCAAAGTATTACAAAGTAGTGGCAAAGTGCTGCAAAGTAGTGGGAAAGTACTACAAAGAACTGCGAAGTAGTGGCAAAATACTGTAAAGTAGTGGCAAAGTACTGCAAAGTAGTGGCAAAGTAGTGGTAAAGTGCTGCAAAGTAGTGGCAAAGTGCTACAAAGTAGTGGCAAAGTGCTTACAAAGTAGTGGCAAAGTACTACATAGAACTGCAAAGTAAGGGCAAAATACTACATAGAACTGCAAAGTAAGGGCAAAGTACTGCAAAGTAGTGGCAAAGTAGTGGCAAAGTAGTGGCAAAGTAGTGGCAAAGTACTGCAAAGTAGTGGCAAGGTAGTGGCAAGGTA